CGATGCCTAATCAGCCCAACACTATCATCATGTCTGGCGGTCCGTTGACGGCCACTCCGGTGCTGACGGGTGTCCCCCAACACCAGGTGTCGGTCATATTGCCGAAAGTGACCCAAACGACGAGTTTCAACGCGGCTCAGGCCCATCACGCGGCCATCAACGTCGCTCTCACGGCGGCCGCCAATCAGTCGCGCGCCGGCGGCGCCACTCATCACGATGTGGCGCACCCGACGCCCCAGCCGTCGGCCGTTAACGCGGTCTCCGCCGCCACTAACAGCGCTACCGTTGCCAACGGCTCGGCCACATCGGCTGCTGCGGCCGCCGCGTCGGCCAACAACGCGGCCCAACCCGTGGAGTTTAATCACGCCATTAATTACGTGAATAAGATTAAGAATCGGTTCCAAATGCAGCCCGAAATCTATAAGCAGTTCCTCGAAATTCTTCACACATATCAGAAGGAACAGCGATCTATCAAAGAAGGTATGATCTCTTCGATGCCATTCATTGTATTATGATTTTCAAAATTAATTTCTTTTTTTGTTGTTGTAATGATAGGAACTGCAGTTCAGGGCCAGAAAATGTTGACCGAAACAGAAGTGTTCACTCAAGTGGCGAAACTGTTTCAAAATCAAGAAGATTTGCTCCAAGAGTTTAGTCAATTCCTTCCGGACGCTAACGGATCCAATATCCCGTCGAGCGGTGCGTCGCTGGCCCTNCTCCAAGAGTTTAGTCAATTCCTTCCGGACGCTAACGGATCCAATATCCCGTCGAGCGGTGCGTCGCTGGCCCTAACAGGTGTGATGCCGGTAACGTTCGGCCACCCGTTGGCCCATCAGGTGGACACCATTACCCCTCACCCGACAGTTAACGATCATTCAACTATTGTTAAGAAGCCAACCGTCGGCAGACCACTAGTTAGCGCTCAACCATTTCAGCCTCGAATTCAATTGAAACGCTCACAACACGACTCACTAACACATCACTCATCTGTTAAGGTATTTAACATTATCTCAATATTTCCCCATTTATGTGATTTGAAGACATGTATAAGAAATAAAAATGTGATATAAAATTGATTTAATGTTTGTATGAATATAGCGCCAGAAAATGACATCTCTTCGTGACGTAACTCTGGCTGAAGCGGGAAAATACGGGTCACTTAACGAGTTTGCATTCTTTGATAAGGTTTGCCCTCAAAAAAGCTCATGTTTTGCGCTTTAGTGCTAAAGATATGATTGATGTAAATGTTTAGGTGAGGAAATCGTTGCGAAGTCAAGAGGTTTACGACAATTTTCTCCGTTGTCTCGTCCTCTATAACCATGAGATACTGTCGCGACCAGAACTCGTACATCTCGTCACACCATTCTTGGGAAAGTTTCCCGAACTCCTCAAGTGGTTCAAAGACTTCTTGGGCTACAAAGAGGGCG